GGAGAGACAAGGAAAAGACTGTAAGAAAGAAAGGAGTAAATTTAGTGAATGCGATTTCCATAGGAAGTTGCACAGATATGCAAAGCTGTACATCTTCCAGGAAAGACCTGATATGGCTCTATCTCTCTCCTTTGCTTGAGCTATAGGCCTTGTATAAGCAGAACTAAAAATAGTTGATGTTTCCATGGCATATGATGCATTATGTTTCATGTTATGAATGCTTGGCCTCCAGCTGGTGGTACTATTTTGAAAGGATCTGGAAACTTTTGGAAATCTGGCCAAGCTGGAAGAAGATGGTCACTGGGGATGGACCACTGAAGGTCATATCCATCCTTTGGTACCAACTGTGCTCTGGTTCCTGTCTGCAAAGATGTGAACAGATGTTCTCTCTCACACACACACATGCTACATCACATTAAAAGCTTAAGTTCTAGCATTGCTCCAACTGTTACTCTAGTTTGTTGTACCTCTACATCATTTCCTCTATATATGTCATGCCCAAGCACAGGAAGCCAAACAATTGTGGACTAAAAGCCTGTAAAGTGTAAGTAAAACAAAACAAACTTTCTACTCCCTCGATACTTTTCTTTACAGAGTTTTGGTCCCCATGGCATGAAAGTAAGTAGTGTGATATATGTTAATATCTGTCCAATTGTTACTTAAACCACTGAACAGAGCTTCTGTAGTCAATTCCAAAAATAATATAGTAAAAAAAAAAGCAAGTTATATGTCACGAAACATACAGTTGGGGTCTACAAACCTAAATAAAGCAGTCAATAGAAACTGTCGCCAGGGGAGTCTAGATGACAGGCACACAAGATGAAGGCTTAATAATAATCAATTGTTATAAATGTATTCAGATAATTATGGAGGTGGTATCAAAAATTAATGAAAAGAATGAGAAAGCTGTTCTGATAAGTTTAAACTATAATTAAAGAGATGTAGATTATAAAAGACAATGAGATGAAAGTTCTGGAGTTGAAATTCACTGGAGTGGGGCTCAATAGCAGAGCTGAGCAGACGTAAGAAGGAATCAAAGAGTTTAAAGACAGGTCAACTGAGATCATCCACTCCAAGTAAGAAAAAGATAATTGCACTTGAGATTACTCATTCTGAAGACCAAAAATATTAAAGAAAAAGACAAATAAAGAGTAACTTAGAGGTTCTTGAGACACTGGAAAGAATGTATATATTTTGGAATCCCCCAAAAAAGAGACATTGAGATGAGAAGGGACAGAGTTTTTGAATGAACAAAGATTAAAAAAAACCTTTATTAGACTGAAGAAATATTGATTTTCATAACAAGAAGCTCTAAGATGTTAAGACCTATATAGACTTTGTCAAAAGTCAAAACCCAAGAGACAGTCTTAGAAGAAGCGGGAAAATACATCACTCCATCTTCAAAAGGTCCCCAATAAGACCAGTGTCAGAAAGAGCAAAGGCCAGAAGACAGTGCATGGCAGACCCTGGAATGCAGAGAAGCACTGGTGTTTTGCTTACAGGATAAACAGGGCAGAACAGCAATAACTAGGCAGACAATAACTTCTCTGTGGTGTAATTAGAAAATACTGCTGGTAAACCATGAAGTTTTCCATAATAAATGATTCATTTGATATCTTCAAAATGTCCGATTCTTCTAACATTCTTAATCTTTTAGGATTCTTTTCTGTCTTTATTTTGTATCTTCAAATTGTTGACCATATGAAATTTCCTTGATGGTCGTTTTTCCTTGCTTGCATCCTGATCTGGCCAGTTCTACTCTTTCCCACACCCCCACACAAGCTTTTGCACTACTGTGACTTTTCACCAAGTTTATAAATCTTGTCTGAGAGCTCATCTCCAGAGAGTTGGTTTTCAAATCTTTAAGGTTTATAAATATTACAGTTCTTACATTTACTGAGGAAATGACCCTATACATTTTACTAAGAAAGACCAGTTTATATAATAATTTAAGTTCCTAATAATCTAGAAAGTTCACCTTTAAACTTAAGCAAGTTGAGACCTGGACATTTGTTTTTGTATGGATAACTACTTTTTCAACTAAAACCCACAAAGAACAAACTTCCTGGCTTTCTCTACAGCTGGGGATCACAGCCTTTTCATTCTTGTGGTAGCTCCTTAGGTGTTGGGCTTTGTATAGTCAATTCTTCCTATAGACATACATTGTCTCTATGAGGTTTAGACCACAGAACCTCAATTCCGATGTCCTTGGAGTTTGTAGAATCTTAAGCCATCTCTGACATCTCAATGCGTCATAGCATAGTTAGCCTCTGTGTACCATTCTGACCTTTCTTTGTTTTCTGAGACAGTGTCTGGCTGTGTAGCTCAGACTGGTCACAAGCTCAGGATCCTCCTCTGGCAGCCTCTCGGGTGCTGGCATCATAGCTATGAGTTACATGCCTGGCTAGCACTTGTTTACTTTGGACATCCATTGTTTTGTGGGTTTGGTTGGGCAATTTGTTTCCTTTTTTGCTTTTAGCTTTCAGTTAGTTTGTAATGCTAAAGATGAAACTTAGGGCTTCATACATTCCAAATGAACGCTGTTCAAAGAACTATACTACACCAAGAACACTTAGTGTCCCCACACAGAAATATTTTTATTAAATACAAGATATAATTAAAGAATGCTGATTGATATTTCAACTTTGACTTTATAAACATTAAACTTCAGTGGGGGAGGATTTTTCCCTTGTTTCTCTCTATGTCCTTCCAATTCTCGTCTTCTTTCTTCCTCTACCTCACATTTTACTTACAAAGTTGATTTCTAGATCACAGAAAGAGAAGGCCTAAAGAGGTAAGGACCAATATGAAGTCAATACTAAGAACAACAACTTCTATTTCCTTGAACTTTTCTTTGTGATAGTTGCCATTTATTTAGGATAAGCAAAAATCACCCAAGGACATATAAAAAAATGCAGAAACCCAAGTCCTGTACAATGTACAGGGCTGCTGATTTGGGGTTGTGAAGAACTCCTGTAGATCCAGACTTCTGTAGTCAATTTATTTAGTGACTTTGGATTATAATCTGAGAGTTCTAAACATACATATGTACCCTAGACATGAGTTTCTTTATTCCGTAGTTTAGAGTTTGTTAATAAAAGAGAGTAAAGAGGAAATCTCCCTAACCAGTGCTCTGCTTGTTTAGAATGAAAACTAATAAAGGTTTTCTTCAGTTGTTCAAAATTATCTTTTCCTATAGGTACACATCTAAAGAAAACTATACTTATACATTAAAAAAAAACTGTTTGAGCAAAATTTTGTTTTGAAGCAATGCAATTAGAAATATGCACTACTGCTAAGATCCTGAGATTTTTCTGGATACTTTCTTCCATGATTGTTTTGTCTCGGGAGAAATTAAATAGTTTCATAACATTCCCTAGGTATTATTTATAAAAAGCTGAATCAAGAAACAGGTGTTACAGTTGGAAAGATGAACTTGTTCTCTTCTATACTTTTAAATTCCCAGCATATGAAGCTGTAAACTCCAAGTAGGCTGCTCGGTTCACATAGATTTATACCATCTACTTCATTTCACTGAGAAAACAGACCTAGATGATCTAGCTATGTGTTGCCAGCTGCCAGAGCTTCAGTGGCTCCAACTTGCACATGTCCCAGCACCTGGCTATTGGAAGCCACTCTTGACAAATATTTGCATGTCTATGCTGTGAGTCCAGCTACATTGCATGCTAACATTCCATTTCCAGGTGGTTCTTATTACCACCTAATTTTTTTAAACCCTGATTTTATTTCAAACAATTTACCACTGTCAAGGGTCACCTCTTTGTACAGCATTGCTGAGATCAAGTATTTTTGGTCCCAGGTCTGATTATAAGAGTTTAGAATGAGCTTATTTAGAATGATTAATAGGTAACTCAGCAAAATCTATGAATAAAACTATGTGTCCAGTATCAAAATTGTAATATAACTACAGGTAATATTTATAATAATATTATTGTTAATTTTTTCAACCAAAATTTTCCTTATTAAACAAGCTGGAAAGCACTAAAACCCCCTCTTATTCATTCACTCAATGACTCATATTGATTCACATTTCTGATATTTGTGGAGGCTTGTTAAGTGTCTGAATAGGATGGAGGAAGTAATACTTTGCATCTTATTAGAAGAGGAGGAAGTTTAAGAAAAAAATACAATATGTATTAAATGTCCAAGGTTGAAGAAATTTCTGAAGATTTTTATTTCCTTTATATCACTTGGTTGAGTAGTCTATTCTTAAAACGAGCCATAAGCATGGGTTTCAGGGAAAGGAGATGAGTTTGAACGTGGGAGTGCTTACAATACACTGTTATGGATCCTTTTCTTGTATTCAGGTTTTAGTTCATTATCAGAGTTACACAGAGACAGCTACCAAATGGCATTCTATAAGAATGTTGATCTTGCCAAATTCAGGCACCTATGTTTGATTTGATAGCTAAAATAACTGAAATCATACATGTAGCATGTCTTTATAATACCTGCAACAGTTATTTGGGTTTCTTTTTCAATACAGACTTTATGAAGGCTTCAAAAGAATTTGGTGAAAATAACTGAACAAAGCAATAGCATATGAGCTCATGTCTACTTAAATATAAATGGACAGGACAGGGAGAGGAATGGGTCTGCATGTGTGTGCATGTATTTTCTATGCATGTTCCAGATTGTTAGCAATTGCTTCAGATTTCCAAAGTTCCTTTTGTACTCCAAGCTGCTTCTTCCAAGCCTATTTTATTCATACTTTACCCGATAAGTATAATTTTTTCATATAATAATTACCTTATTGTATGATATTTTCAAAGTGTCAAATACTAAAATTGTCACTAACACTAATCCTGTAGTATTCAAAGGAGATTTTAGCTGGACCATCCTCTGTTGGTGTCAAGACAAACAATTCATGTTTCAAAAGCTAGTTTATCAACCTGTCTCCCACAGTTAGGATAACACTGAGTCAATGCTATTAGGGAGTTGGTAAAAGTCATTTGTCACAGAACATGGCCTCTACTCACGTTTATCCTGCTCTGCTTCAACTCCTTCACTTTCTGTGTCACTCGGCAAGAGCCATGGTTGATGCACAACCTGCAATTGCTTTAGAGACTCATCCTGCAGAGAGAAGAGGATAGTAGGTTAAAGTCTGGGTTGATATCACAGCTACCAATACAGCTGAGCACTTCAGTTTCCACAATTTGCATGTTCAAAAGCCCTAAGACTTGCCCCACAGCAGAAACGTATTCTAAGCTTAAATTGCTTTTCATGTCATATACATGAATCTTTTGACTCTAAAGTCACTGTACTTTAAATTCTTCTTTACTAAGATTTAGACGATAAGAATTAAATCTAGTCTCTAATCCTTCTGAGTTAATGTTTTGATCCTTATTCTTAGAAACATAATTACAAAATGTGCAAGATAAAATTGAGTAAGAGGAGCATTTAATAACATAAGTCTTTAACTTCTATAACAAGAACGGAGACTAGAGTGGTTGATACTTGTTTCCTTCGATTACACTCTCAGTATTTGCACACTATCTTCTATCTCTTCCTGTCTTACTTGCTTGGTCTCAAGTTTCTAAGTTGAAGGGATTCTGCTACATAAGTTTCCTGAGAAGCAAGGACTTCAGATGCATATGACCCCACTCCGTTTCCATTTTCTGCTTCAATTAAAATAGCTCTCATATATTTCTTCACTCTGCTCTTTTCCATCTGTCAATAACTACACATAACCCATCATTTCTCATTCTGTCTGCAATGATGAACAAAATGCTGACCAAGTCATTCTAGAAGTGCCTGGAGCATGTAAAATCAGAAACTAAATGGATATCATAGAGGAATGGTACTTTAATTTATAAGTTTACCATGGAGTTATACCAGCATTGGGTTATTAACCACAATATGAAATAAATATCGATGAATCCTTATTGCTAATAATAAATAATTGAACAAAAGAGTGTGTGAGTACATGATCATAGGCAAAAACACATATAAAAGGACTTTGGATAATTCATGTACACACTCTGCCCTTAAACTTGAATAAAACTCCTACTCTGAGTTGTGTATAGTGAGTATAATTTTAAAAGTGGCACAGAAAGGGGAAGAAAAAGGAAGAAGTTCACAGCAGAGTAAACCGACAAACACCACCGCAAGCCAATCAATCAAGGGCATGGCAGTCAGCTGGTTACCTGGTAGTACAGACCCTTGATAGTAAACAATAAAAATGGGATTTTATCTCTATGTTTTCTTTTATTTATTTGTTTGTTTGTTTATTCATTCATTTATTTATTTATTTATTTATTTATTGGTTTTTGAGACAGGTTTTCTCTGTGCACCTTTGGATCCTGTCCTGGAACTTGCTCTGTAGAGCAGGCTGGCCTTGAACTCACAGAGATCCACTTGTCTCAGCCTCCCAAGTGCTGGGATTAAAGGCATGTGCCACTACCACCTGACTTTATGTTTTCTTTTCATAAATACACAATGTCAGTAAGTTATGACATGAAATGTATATTCCTTCATAGGATCTTGGAACAAAGCAGATTTGTTTTTGTGACTAATTCCCCTTCAAAACCCAGCTCATGGCAATTTGAACCATGTGTATAGATTTCATTACTAATGTAACAATAATGGGCAATTTTGACAAGTGTCTTCTACTGTATTCTATAATAATCTGAGGTATTAATACTAGCTGGAATCTGAGTGGGAGACACATAGGTACTCTGTTAAGTCTTCGCAATAATTCTGTGACCCTAAAACTGCACTAAAATTAAAACATAATTGAAACAAAAGAAACACAAGTTTTGGAAATTATTTTCATTAAAAAATAATAACCTGATTTTTTTTGTAACAGCAACTCTTAAAAACAGCATGTGATTTGGACTGAAATGTAAGTTCCTATCAAATGAGAGTAGGTTCCACAGTAAAATGTGTTTGCCCCAGGAATAAGGAAATACAATTTCCATCCTGGCTAGTCCAAGGCCCTCAACTTCCCTCCTGTGTTAGTTACTCATCCTGTTGCTATGGATATACACCTCACAGAAGAAACAGAGAAATCATGGTGTTAAAGCAAGGGCAGAGCAGCGTGGTCTATGATAGTAGCCAGCAACAATGGACACTCATGTGGTGGTAGACCAGGAAGCAAAGAGAGCAGGCTGCAGCTGCAAAGGGGATAGCCTTGAAAGCCCCCTGCAGTGTCCTGTTTCCACGACAACAACCCTGCATACCCATAACCACAGATTTTAAAGGAACAGCCAGTCCCATACAAAACATCGAAAACACAAGTCTGTGGGTATTTCAGACTCAAACTGTATCACTGTCTTAGGGGAGGATGGAGAAGGTGAAGGTACTGGTTTAGATAGTGCCTGGTACTTCACAAGCAGGCCATATCTAGGTCCCAACTCTTTCAGAAAGGTGAATGGGAAAGACTCCAGTGGGTTATTGAAGGGGAATTTAGCACAAAAGCTAGTCAATCTTAGAATCTGCAACTTATATGTACACTGATGCATATTCTTAGGATTTAATTTTATTTTTAAATTGTCTACTATGAGATTTGGCCTTGCAGAGCTGCCCAAAGAAGCTGTGCAAATATGAAAATATTGAGTTTATTAGGCTTTAAATTCTGTGTGTGTGTGTGTGTGTGTGTATGTGTGTGTAGAAATAGTTTCAAAATGTTTCATGTAACAAACAGGGAAAACCACATCCCCAAAATTCCAAAAGCAGAACACGCAATCTCTCATGTTTAAAGACAAAATAAATGAACCATGCTTTTAGTTTACTAAGGAGAAATCAAAGGCCGGAGCTCCTCAATTAAAACAGAAAGTATAAAGTGACCAAGAAAATAATACTTATTAATTTAAAAAAAGTATTTTTGTCGTTTAATTTCTTGTCCCAAATATTAAAACCCATTCTTATAAGAAAGGATATGACTAATAGGTCAGTTTTGTTATTTTTCCCCACAGTGGTTCAAGATATTAAGCAATATTACCAATTGGCTTGCTGTCCTAATGCCTTGAGCGTTAGACTGGTCTTGGTTTGTTGCAGGTGGTATAAAGTGGACTTGGAAACGGGCTCAGCAGAGACTGGGAAGAACCTTACACTGTTGATACAGTAACATGAAGACCTAACAAGTATTACTCTTAGATGATTTCAATGTTGTGCTTTAGTTCTCCCTGTACTAGAGCTAGAAATCGAAGGTCCCAGTTTGCCTACCTTGGACTGGCAAGAGTGCCACACGTCCGAAGCCCACCCATCAGCCTGCCTATAATTCTTCGTGATGGGGTCAAGAAGTTAAAATCCTGAACATTTTTCTAAAACAAGAGCTGATGTGTTCTTCCTTTCTAAGTTTATGCAAAAACTTTCTGCAGGGTATTAAGCTACATCTCAGTGTAGCACACTGTTTTCCTATTCCCAAGGGCAAGCTCTCAGGGCTGCTTTCTGAAGAAATGTCATTCATCCTTTCTCTAAAACACTTTTGCCATGAGTACAGCAAGTACCCAGGGACTGGGAATGGTGGTGGGAACGAGTGACGTGGGTCATATGGAGAACAGCTACCCGTCCTGAATCAACAGATCCTTCTCTCTGCTAGCAGAGGAAGAGCTTTATATAAACCAGCAGTATTGTTATTCCATATGGATAGTTTATTTTTGGGTTCTTCAAATTCTATAAACCACTGATTTATGACAATCTGACCACAGAAGTTCGGTATATTTAGAGAGTAAAAGAGTGTCCTTTGTTGAAAGCAACATTTTAATTCTGAATTAACTATTTTTCCCCTGGGTAGGAACGTCCAAATAATGTACTGATGTTTCCTATTTTTTTTTCAGACAGACTTTTTCGGTTTCATTTGAACTCTCAAGTCACAGAACCCCTCCAGAATGGTGATCCATAAAGTATGATGTATGTAAGGCTAGCGAGTGGGTTAGCTCAGTGAATAAAGGCATTTGCTACCAAGCCTGACAACCTGTGTTTTATCCCTAGGACTTAGACGATGGGAAGAAAGAAATGAAAGTTGTCCTCTGGCCTCTACACACATGCCAACACACACACATGAAATAAATAAATGTAGTATGTTTAAAGCATGATATACATAAAGTAAAATTAGTCTGCTCCGGATATATTTCATAGACAGCTTCAAGTGACAAAGAATTAATTCTGTATTTCTATTAAAGTAAAATTTCCTCTAAGTCATTTATACAGTTAGCAAAGCTAATACTACCTTTTAGCACTTCTTAACAAAATGTCTTATATGATTAGTCTGAAATCATCAATTTCTTTTTCATAAATTGCATTTCTGTAGCCCAATTATTTGGAAACTGTAAAAATCAATTAAAAAATAAGAAGAGAGAATTAACAAAGTCTGAGAACTATAACATTTAATGAATAGGTTCTGAGGGAAAAAAGAAAAAAATCACAACAAAATTCTAGAAAATGTGATAAATTGTAAAGAGAGAGAGAGAGAGGCACAAAATGAATTCATACTATTTCAGAAAATGGAGTCTGTCCTGTTTGCTCTTCTGTGTTGAGAGAGCCCTGGGAAAGCATGTCACTGCACTATGCAATGCTTTCTGCTTGATGACTTCCTCCCCAGAGAAAAGAATGAAAGATTATTGGAGTCCATGAAAAATTAGTCACTTCCCCAGCATTCCCCCTAGTCCCTTGATTCTGTGGATGTAAAAGTCCTTTGACATCAGCTATTTCACACTGTATACTTTATAGGAAATAGGAATAGCACAAATGATTGTTGTCCATGGAGATGCAAACTGCATCCATTGAAAATGCAATTGATTGTTAGCCTAGGGAAATGGGTTTAATTTTTGCTACTTTTGCATCTATTTATAATGTCATTTTAACGTTTCTTAGTTGCCCTTTTATATGAATGGAGTCTCCTTGAATGGTCATAACATTTAACTTGCTCCTTCATTAAATGATTGGTTTTATAAATTTAACATGCATTCCTCCATGTGTGTGTCCATGTGCACGTGTATGTGGTGGATGCACACATGTGGAAAAGGTGGCAGAGGACAATCTCGCCTCAGGTGTAGTTACTCGTGTGTCACCCGCTATCTTTTTGAGACAAGGTCAACTCACCCTGGCCTGAAGCTCTCCAGGTAGGCGAGGCTGGCCCAAGCGGTCAAGCTTGTTACTGCCTCTCCAGCTGTGTGGCTGCAAACTTCCTCCATCACATTTAGCTGTTTTGCTTCTTACCATGAGTCTGGGGATGGAACTGTCCTTGTATTTACAAGGCACACAGGTGATGGACTAAAGCTATCTTTCCAGCCCTGACTTCTTTTTCCATTTCTACGAGAGCTATGAATGTAACCTTTTGAGATCTGTCATTTAACAATGGATGTCAAAAAATGTCAAATATCAATGGCAAAATAGGATTTTGTTTTGCAAAACATAATGTATATGTCTAGTTCCGTCAAGGGAATAAACAACAGTAGTAATGATAGTGATTTTGATTTTCCAAACATCTGAAGAACAAAATGTATACTACTCACTTTCTGTAAGTAAATGTGCCCTCTCCATCAGAAATATAGCTGGAAGCTCATTTTCACTGAAGGTCACAGATTGCAACCCTGAGGAAGCCAGACAAGCCTGACTGGGTGTAAGAAGAGATTTGGAATCGCTGTGCTGCATGGAAGCAGTCCCTTTCCCGTTCAGATGGTGCATCTGGCAGACCAAGCCCAAGAGTCGGGAACATCTTCACGCTTCCAGTGCTGCATTTCCTGGCTGACGCCCTCAGGGACAGCAAAGCTGCCACTTGTCACCCTGAGTGAGTTCACACTGCCTGTGCGATTGCCATTTTGTCATCTGGCCATCACCACCTTCGTGAAGTCGTGACTACTTTCCAGAAAGTTCCAGACACTGTTGACTTGAATCTGTAGTTCTCAGGAGCGTCTTAACTATTTAGGTCGCTAGTACTTCTTAGCTGTCTGTGTCCACCCCATAGCCTCCATCAGTAACGAGGGCATTTCAAGACACTGTATTATGTTTATTCCTCATGATTCCTCTAGGTAACATGATATTTTAAGTACATTAGTTTCTTTATAAAAGGCATGGTAAGACTTAGAAATATTTAAATTTGATAAATTTTTTACTTCATTGAGTAAGCATTAGCCTTACTGTGGCAAATAATAAAGTGTTTATATTTTGAAATCATTCCTACCTTGAGTTGTCAGGTGACTCACTTGTGAAAAGCATGCAGTTTCTTAAATTCAACTTTCAGAGCTACTTTGAAGATTTGAAAAGCAGACTGACTCATAAAGTATTTTTTTTCATTTGCTCAAAGATCAAAATGCTAGCTGGATCTGATGGTATATTCCTTTAGTTCCAGCACTTGGGAGGCAGAGGAAGGCATATTTCTGTGAGTTCAAGGCCGCCCTGGTCTACATAATGAGGTACAGGATGGCCAGGGCTGCAGAAAGAGACCCTATCTCAACTCTTTGCCTGGCCCAAAAGAAAAATCCAAATGCCAGACTGAAATAATATATTAAAAATAGACTATATAGAATAAAAATGAGGCTTATTATTATACAGAATAATTTTAGGCTTAATTTCAAAGGAGATTATGTTGCCTCAGTTTTTCTATTTAGATCTCAACACAATTACCTAATGTAATGTGGTTACAGTTAATGACTATATTTAAGTAAGTAAATAAAACAAAAACCAAAAACCCCACCAAAAGGAAACAAAACAAAACAAAAGAACTAAGACTTTGATCTATTAAAAGTTGATCAAAGTTTAAGAAGAACTGTTAAATATATTAAAACATCAACAGTTTGGTTTATTTGAGTTTTAGTGTATGCTAATTTTTGTTGTTGTTGTTTGTTTTGTTTTGCTGATTTTACAACCTGAAGAGAAAAATGAAATGAAAGCCTAAGCAAGAAAAAAATAAATAGAAAATAATGCCATTTTATGTCTCACATTGTAAACAGGTTCCAAATGGAGAATTTTAATGCATATTTCCCATAGAACGAATGCATAAAAATTTGAAAAAAACTATTAACTAATCCATAAGTCACTAATCAAGACCACACAATTTTACTGTGATGATAATTTATTGGATTATGAATAGCTAACATCTAAACATCAACTAATATGAAATGAAAATTCCGTGAAATCACCATGAACCATGGTAATAGGTAGGTAACATTTACACTGGGTGGTTCACACGTATTTGTAAAGTACATGCAGAGAGTCAGCAATGGATCTCATAAACTAGAGACATTTATACTTCAATAAACAAACAAAACATGACTGAGAACAGATGAGTACACAAAACTCCAATGTATTAATGAAGTTAGCCTCCTTTTCTAGAATACAGAATGGGGTTAGGGTCCCCACAATGCATGATTTTAGTCTCTAGAAATCATCCTGGAAGGAATTAGATAGAGAACTGCTTTTCATAGTTTAGGGTATGTAGCAACCCATGGAGACCTAAGCAAGCTTAGCAAGAAGAGGACTGAGTACTTGATACTGGATGAATCCCGAGAGTTCCTGTTTCTAAGAATCTTCCAGCCAATGTTGATGCAATCACACTCAAGCAGCAAGCCTTTCCAACCAAGGCACAAATAACAAAACTCACTCTAACATGCCTATTCTTGGCATGTAGCCCATATCACACAGGCCTCAGTGATCTCCTTTCACAGTCTTAGACCGGAAGCAAGAGGCATCCCCAGCCTTCCCCAGAAGCATCTCATTCAGCCCCAGCAAATGGTGAGGCTGGAGTCAAGAGCTTATGTGATCACGAAAGTCTAAATGACTACTCTACCAGCGGGCATTTGGGGAAAATACTTATGTTTTCCTCCCTGTGGGTAACATTAATTGTTCAAATATATTCTAGGTCTTTACATCAAATCACCAAAGTGAAAGTTAGTATTCATGTTCCAATGCTACCACGTTTTGCCCATTTATTTTGATGCTTGTGAATTTGCACATCTTTCCAGCAGTTTCCTTCCTATCATTCGTTATTCCTTCCTGTGTTTTTTGAAAAGTTTCTATTATCTCTGGATAGATAGGCAAACCTATAGAGACTGGGTATTCCACGTCCCCCTCCTAGTGATATTTGGAAGCAAGTAAGAATTTCAGTTCCCATGCACCATCCTGCTAGGAATTACACAGTATGCTCAGGAGATCTGAGGTTTTTCGAATAGACTCTTGAATTAGGAAGAAGTGGAGAAGCAGGTAGGTTCCTGTTGAGAAGCAGCATTCAATCCAAGAGTTGAGTCCTATCCCTGAACTTCCTTCACTTTCAGCAGAGTCACACTGCTTTCTTAATGATCGTCATGGGTTTTCTTCAGGTCTCAGGGGCTCTGCCAAAGTTCTGAGGGTTTCCAAACGCCTGTCAGTCAGGGCAAAGCTCTGTGCAACCGGACACTTTTCAGTATCTTCACAAATAAACCCAGGAATCTGGGGCATTTTCCAAGAATGTGTCTTACATTTTAATAGGTACAGCAAATAGCACAATGACAAGCATTTGTCACATGAATGAATACTGACCTATTGTAAGACTCTCTTTCTCTCGTCTGTCTGTCCTTTTTTTTTTTGCTTATTCCCAGTACAAAACATATGTTTATCATTTACAAATATATGAACAAATGTTTGTGAATGGAAACATATGGTAGCACTAGGTTCATGGGCTTTCTCCTCCATTTTCAGATAACTGGATAGAAAGTATCTCTCTACCAATGAGGAACAAAAGCAATTTTGATAACACTATTTATTGTACTCTTCTAATCATGGCCAGTGAACAGATGTGTATTAGGAGCCCGGAAGATAGATGGGAAAAGCCCAGGTGAGTGTTTCATCTCACATGATAGACTGATGACATGCTATGTTTGTGAGGTTCTCTTAAAACTCACTTCCTCCATGTAGGATTTCAAAGAGTGTCCTCCACTGGAGTCTTCTCCCTAGAGGCAAGCAGGTTGAAAATGTCAGGAAGGGACAGAAAGAACAATACAATTCTGTCATTGTAGACGGCAATGAGCTCTCCCTTGCTTGCACACATGATGCCTGTGAGGCTGTCACTTTGACAACCTCAGGTTCTCTGAGGGAGACAACATTTCTTTCCAAACAAAGACACACCTTGTAAATACTTTTCAGTTCATGTAAACAAATAATCAGTAAAGCTTATTCAATATTAGAGGAGAATGCTAGGCAGTCTTATGAAAATTTCTATTACTAACTTTCTATGTTCTTAAAATTAGATGAAGCCACTAATTCCATGTGATATAAATTTTCATGAAGCCCTAACATCTGGACTTAAAACCATCCTACGAAATTATTTTGTCTTTCCATTTAGTCTTTCTAGACATAGTGGTTCATGCTTAGCCAAGTCTCTATCATGTGTGTCTTTTGCTAAAACATCGGAACACTGGTAACCAGTGAGGCTGAGATCAATAAAACTTAAAGCACCAAATTAAATATATTCTAAACTATCAATCAAGTTGTTGGTTTGGATAAGTTATATTTTTAGACTGCATATGCAGGAACATTTGTAAATAAATTCTGTGATGCCATGAGTTGATAAATTCTAGGATATCATATGTGTTTAAAAGATAGCTAAATAACTGTGAATGAAGCTTAAAATGGTTTTCACAGCATATCTTGTGACTTTTCAAAGTCCCTCATACGTGTTAGCTCATTGGACTGTTATGGTTTGTTCATTTTTGTTTTTTAGTACAATTTAAGGCCAAGACATCCTCCAGCCCATTTGATACATTGAGAAATTGAAGCTGTGAGGGGTGGCACTAAATGAAGCATCGGTGCGGCTGCAGCCAGCCTGACACTGTACCACCACACTAGGATCAAAAGTCATTAATCATTCAAAATTAGATTCACTTCCCTTAAAAAGTGGGGGTTTTCTTTGGTTTAATGATGGTTTTTTTTTTTTTTTTTTTTTTTTTTTTTTTTGGTTTTTCGAGACAGGGTTTCTCTGTGTAGCTTTGCGCCTTTTCCTGGAACTCACTTGGTAGCCCAGGCTGGCCTCGAACTCACAGAGATCCGCCTGACTCTGCCTCCCGAGTGCTGGGATTAAAGGCGTGCGCCACCACCGCCCGGCTTAATGATGGTTTTTGATGCTTGTTTTTTACATGTTCTGAACAATAAGCCTTGAGGAAAATAAAGGTAGAATGCTCATGTCAGTAACAGGCTGATATTTCTGAAAATTCAAACAGTATAGATCAATGTGGTAATATTTCTTCCCAAATCATGGTTTCCACTAGTATAAACACACAAAAGTCAATATATTAGAGTTTAAAAGTCTCCAAATGCTTCTAAGATTACAGAATATTTCAATATACAAGGCAGTCAAAAAGATAGGCTAGAACCTTTAATCCCAGCACTCAGGTGGCAGAGGCAGGTGGTTCTCTGTGAGTTCGAGGCCAGCCTGGTCTACAGAGTGAGTCAGGGCTATTACACAGAGAAACCCTGCTTCAAAAAACAAACAAACAAACAAAAAAAAAAAAGCAGCAACAACAAAGATACAAAGCCCTGCATTCTTAAAATATAAGCTATTTGGAGAAATAAAATTCATAGAAGTCCTCTAAAAAATGAGGAAATTTAACTTGAGTCACCAAGTTGACCACTTAGGCTCTCATAGTTGAACAACTAACCCAAGAATGTTGTAGACCCTTCCAGTGTGTCTCTCTCATGGCTAATTTTCTTCCCTTTCACCTCAGTTGCCCAGAGAATGAAAACAAGATGACAAATTGCTTTTGGTGATAAATATGCTAAGTGGCGACTGTGTGAAGCCTGTAAGGCGGGTCTCTGAACACTGGAGGACTTGAAGTACAATTTCAGAGTTCTCAGCTGCTCCCTGAAGAGATGCCTTTTATTCCTTCCAGCTAGGAAACAATGGTTTTCCCAATTTGTCTAGATGATGCCAATCTTCTGCTAAGACTTGCTGACGACTGAGGATTTTCTTGATGATCGCATGTCAACAGACAATAAATAGGCTTCTTGACACCCTTGCTTATTCCAACTGTGCAACAGTTGTGAGTGCATACACAATAGCAAATGACGGCAAACGGTAACAATACCAATATAAAATCATCCTCATGAGGCTCACACAGAATTAAAGTAGGCAGGTAAGGAAGTGTGAAGGACTTATGCCTTTCTGTCAATGCAAAGGGTGTTTTAAATGTTCAGAAGAAATGTCTTATTAGACACACAAACCGTACTTCGGAGACCTCTCATATGTCTACTGACTTAGGTACAAAGTTAACATTCTTTAAAACTGCAACAGTCCATACAGGAGAGTCTCAACAGAACCTTTGCCCAGCAACAGCACCTCTACCATTGAGCTGATACCAAGTCCTCTAAAGGTCGCTAACACCAGTGAAGTTTTTCGCTTTTGCCTTTGAAGATTTTTCCATTATCTTATCCTTGTTGATACACCAGAGCTTACTATAGCTCATGCCTTCCCATTCCAGTGCCCTGCCAGTCTCAGATAAATACCAGCATTATCTGAGAATCCATCTCTGCTATTTAGAATGGCAAGAGAGCCCACACACCATTTGTTTCACACACTGGAATCTGGCTACAAGCCTCATCCACAAATCATTGAGTTGGGGCTCCAATAAGTGAAGAGCTTAAAATTAAAAGTCTCTAGTTGATAACACAGGAAAAAGAGCACTTGGCAGAGAGGATCGCAAACGTGCCCGTGGCCAAGTGAACAGTCAAAGACAAGAGGTATGACCTCTGATTTTTAGAGTCAGAAGAATAACCCAGTGAAGGGCTGGGCTCCACATGTCTGTCTAAGCTTCTTCAGACTTCCAAATGTTGCATCTCTCCTTCCCGCCCCCTGGGGGTGCTAAGGAAATACAACGCTTTCAGAGCACAAATCCATCCATTTCAGTCCACATTTTCTTAACTTTAAAGACAAGTATTTTAAATATCAAGTCATCCAAATAGCATAATATTTTGGTAATTACCTTTTAGAAAGGGATCAAAAACACCCAAATTCAATTTCCCTTGAAAAACAAAGAGGGTAAAAGGGGTAGAAAAGAGGAAGAAAGGGGCATGTGGAGGAGGGGAAGGGCAGGAGTAGGGAAACTATGCCTTTAAAAACAAAAACAAGAAAAGGTATTTCCTGAAACATGGTTTCACTTACCATGAATTTCTAATATAATCACAGCTGAGGTTAAAAAGGTTTTAAATATGGATGAGAAAATAAATTACGAACTCAGAGAAAGTTGAAGAGAGAGAGGCTGGGTGAAGTGGCCCCTACAAGATCCCATGAGCCGTCAGCAAAGGAGGCCTTTGCCACAGCCTTAGATATGTTACACTTAAAAAAGTGTCCTCGGTAAATAGAGAATATTCTAATTGCAGATCTAAATTTACCTTTTCCTCATTCCATTTGCATTTTAACTCTCATTTGCATCTCTTGCTTCAATCAATAAATATTTTTTATTCATCTCTTACTGATCTTTAGACAAAGTACAGACTGGCTCTCTCATTAGGATGCATTTATTTACACTGTATATGTCTAAGATCTTTCTGGTACTAATTTCCTACAAAGAAAATTTCATGTCCTACTTCACTGAAATGTTCTTACTTCCCACCCTATTCAAATAAAATTGAATGATAATGCTAGCACAGAATGCCTTCTTAAGAAGTTCCTGAGTTATTTGCCACTCACAGAAGGAGAGGAAGTCAACGCAATTGGCCAAGCCATTCCTAAACCCAAGCAGAACATAAAATGTCATCATCATTTATTTCAGTTAGGTATCAAGACAGTTGTAGGTGTCAGGACAAATAGTTGAACAAGAGCTTACCCTCGTTATAAAATGTTTGCCATGGGAGAACAGACAGACCCAATTAGGATCAAGAACAGAAGTTCTTTGACACGTATACTATCAAGTTGCCACAGGAAAGAGCTAAGAGAAAAAAGCATTCAGGCTTTCATTCCTTTGCTCGGCAGCCACTGAGAAAGCAAAAGCACTGAGAACTGCTGTAGTCACGGCATGTGTGCTATGAAGGCAAAAGGACAGAGTCACGCTTAAAATTGTTTTCAAACTTAGTTTTGAAGACTTAGTCAATTACCGTATTAATGAAGCTGGATAAGGAGGAGGTCTCAGAAATATGGAAAATCTTGTTTAAGACACAACAGAACAAACCCAGGGAACCATGATAATTCCAAAGAGAAGCACTAAGGATGCCAGCCACTGAAATGTATGCTGTATTGTCAGACAGACAGCTGTCGGCAGTGTGTCAGGGCCTAATTTCCTATGACAAGTTTGTGTAATAGAGATGGACTCAGGTTGATATTCTGGTTTCCTACTGCATCCTCACACAGAGTAAATAAAATCATCTTCACAGGAGGTGGAGAGAGTGAAATCCAGCTTTTTGAACTTGGTAGACCCTATGGGCAGCACCTACTGTCCAAGATGATAAGCCATGTTATCTGTTCTGACCAGTGGAAAATTAAGAGCAAGATTGTCCACATCTGGGCAGGGTTGGCAAGCTCAAAGGGCGTTAAAGTCACTGGTGCATTTAGGAAGTTGAACGTGGTCTGTGTTCACATTTGCATATGTGAACAGACCCTGCTTCTGTGTCAATTGCTCCAATGTTCTTTTATATCAAGTGTGAAATTCATGTCTGGAGAATTGGTCCATAATTTTATGGATAGATGTAACCTCAGACCACCTTTTCCCACAAATGCCACCTTTATCTAGGAGAGAAGATACTTGAACAAACCAAAGCCAAAACAAACAAACAAACAAAACAAACAAAAACCAGTAGTGCTATTATGACACAGTCATTGTGATTCACTCTGCTTTTAAGGGTTACTAGTGTAGTAGGATGTGTCTGCGCCGGGATGAAATAACTTTAGGATGAATTAAATTGCCCTTAAGAACAAAACGGGGACTGGAGAGATAGCTGAGTAGTTGAGAGTGCCTGTGCTCTT